AGACTGAGAGAGAAGAAAAAGCATGAGAAAATGATTAATGATAAAGACCGAAGGTCCAGTTCAAACCATGCTTGCCATGCTAACCTCTCCTTCCTAAGAAATGATTGGAGAACACAACATGTGGGAAAAGAAACCATTTTTCAAGACTTTCCTTGTACTGTACTGTACATGAGACTGATCACTCCCTGTTGAAATGTGATTTATGATGGCAACATCTTTTTTTTGTTTTGTTTAGAAACACTGCTGCATCCTTATAAAACATTTTGTTTTGTCTCCAATCAGTGTATCTCTAGTTTCCCCCAAGTTCAATAAAAATTGATGTGTACGAAGGAAAAAATGCTGCTCGATCGCACGGCCGAAGGCAGTAAAGCAGACAGGGAAAGAAAGTCAGAGCAGATTAACAGAGCACAAGAGATAAAAGAAACATTAAGACATCAAGTGCAAGCTCAGACCTCAGACAGAGACAACATCAAAGGCAGAATATTCAGGTCTTATGACACATTAGGAAGAATATACAGTATGAGCAGAAAAGGAAGGAGATCGAGAGAAAGTCAGAAGAGAAGGAATAACTGAGAGAGTGCAAGGGTTATCGGCTGGATCAGACACAGATCTACACACTTACCAGGCTCAGAGATGAACAGAATCAGTGAGGTGTGTCACACATTTAAGGCCTTAGATGCAGTAAGATGAAGCCTTACTGATCAGTGTACAGGCTACGACTTTACTATCACTGTTGTTGCTGCCAAAGTAGATTAGTACGTCCTTTGAAGCCACCCAAATATTGATGATTGATGATTTGTTATATAGCTCAAGGTAATTTTCTACTGTAGTGTATGCCACGAGATGCACAATTACATAGAAAATAAATAAATTGATGTTCAAAACAATGAACTGTGTACCACAGTTATAAAATTTCAAATGTAGCTTGAATAACCTTCAATTTTTTAATTCCCAGTTTGCTTGGATTCATTATTTTGGGACAACAGATCATTTTTTGGTATTGTGTGCTTATTTACTTCAGTTCCAGCCAGCGTGTTCTGTTGAGCTATTTATTTATTTGCATGTTGTCTTTACTGTGAAATGGCTTTTTTTTTTGTTTGCTTGTTTTTTTGCAGCAATTGCTCCAATCCAAGACATTTTTTCTTACATGGAACAAAAAAGTAACCTTGAATACAATATGAGATCATTGTGATGATTGATCATGGTAACATATCATGTAAAAGATAACACTGGATTATAACCCAGCTCTGAAACTTATAATTGATTCTTGCTGTGACTAACAACGTACTTGAAACTATCTGAATCTGCCTTGGTGCAAATTATTTGTACGAACTTCACTACACAACAAACACTGCTTGATCCAGATTGTGACTATTTTGGAGATCCCCATACACTGCAGTTGTTCCAACAGGGATAAGGCCTGTGTTACAGCTAACCAGCCACTAACCACGGTGTCGTTTACCTTTCTTGGAGAAAAACTCTCGGCTGTACTTCCCAGCAGCGACCACTTTGCGTGGGACCTTCCCAAGGAGCTCCATGATCAGAGCGATGTGGTCTGCCCACCACCACATACATCACAGAGGGAACAGGCACGTTTCAGCATTACAGCATGCACACACACACACACACACACACACACACACACACACACACACACACACATCAACAGGACAGGCTGTGTGGCACTGAAACACACTGCTGCCTTAGGGTCCTGCATGGACACATTCACAGGCTAAGGACTAATGAAACGTCTTATAAGATTGTTCTCACTGTTTTCAGTCACAGTTTCAACTCATACATCTGTTTTTTTTAACCAAATTCAAATCAACACATTTTAATGGTGCCTGTTAGTGTCCATTTTTGCCCATCTTAGACGTTCGTGTGTCTCAGTCCCACCAGTTCTCTGGCCAGTGCTACCTCTTCTGTTGAAGAACTCCCGGGAATATTTTCCAGAGAGTGCAAAGTGCCTTGGAATACAGCCCAGCAGCTCTATGATGTGGGCTATGTGGTCTACGGAGGAGAGAGGGAGGGGGAAGGAAAAAGGAAGAAGTATGCCCAAAAAAAGAGAAGGGGAAAGAAATGCAAAGAAAGCCAAAAAGAGAGAAATACAAGGAAGGAAGGAATTAATTGAAAGAGGAGAGACAAAAGTAAAATTAAAGGAAATTGTAAAACAAAAGTGGATTGTGGGTAGGGAAGTAGAAACAGGGAGGGGAAGTGATGAGGTAAAAGGCAGAGAAAAGAGGAGAAAGGAAAGAAAAAAAGAGAGTCACAGATGGTAAAGGAGAAAAACCCATGTTAGTGAGCTGTGCCTCCACAGCTGTGGTGATGAAACTAAATGTTCAGCCTTGGAATGAAAGTGACATGCATTCAGATGCAGAATTGAACAAACTGGAACTCAAAGGTAGTGATTTTCAATTTGGCCTTAATGGCGGAGGATCAAAGATGTTTCTGTGAATCAGGAAGTCATGCCAAAACTGACACCGGATTATTGCCCGAGCAAAACATGCCACATGAGGTCAACTATATGACACATGCAATGAGAAAAATAACACACTGGGCTGTGAAGAGGAAGACATTAAAGAGTTAGGTAAAGATGGGCACACAGTCTGGAAATGTATTTTGTAAGACAGAGTAAAGTGGAATGAGTAAGGTTATAGATACACATACAGGATAATTGGCTAATGTTGCTCTTAAGGTTAATTTGTTGTTACTATTTTACTACAAATGTCTAGAGTTCAGGACAATGGGATGAGTTGCGTGAGCTCTCTGTGTATCTATAACTGAACAATTCAGGTTTGGTGAAGATGAGTGGAGGCAAAGCAGCAGAATTAAAGGACAGGATTTACAGTAGACAGTGGGATTTTAAGGAGAGGGATGTCTAATTTATACTTAGCTCAATTTAGGGCATTTCAGTGTATTTACAGTATAATCCATCTTTATTTAGTACAGTTTTACTCCATTATTTGGATACAGTGTTAGAAACACTAGCTTCTCTTTTGAGAATAGATGACACTTGCAAAACAACAAATAACTGGTTAAAGCTGAGCTATGTTATTCATATAATTTACATAATCACATACTGGTCTCTTAAAAATGTTCCACCAATCTAAAAAAACAAACAAAAAAACTACCTACTCAAGCTAATTCCTTATGTTTCTTAAAATTCCCCCCCTTTAGCTTCCACATATTGGCCATTAATCTTCCTGGTGCTCCCAAAAAAAGCATAGCAAGTTCACACCTGCAATCACTTAATTGTGATTAAAAAAAACAGATTAATTGATTTTTCTTAGTGTTTGTGATTGGGGGGAAAAGCTTGAGAATAATGTGAACATTACACAATCTGTATTCGGTCTCTGCACTTGGGTTACGTCTTTTTTACAAACCATGCCTCTGTTATGTGAAAAATAAATAAAAAATAATTAAAAGTTAGCTGAATGCATTTGAAGTTGTGATAAATGCATCACTAATGCAATGTAAGAGCACAGTTAGCAGCAATGTATCTGAACAATGGAGACAGCATATAAAGCAAATTGAAGTTAAATAGCAAATAATCACTAATTTTCACAATACATTAAAACATTAATTTTCAACAACACTTCAATAAACATTTAATACACTTTGCTTTTGCATTTCCCATGTATATTAAACATTTTCCCTCACTGCTAGTTATTTTTTCTCTTGGCATCAACAGTCCAGTCTAGTCTACAGTCTTGATTTAAGATTTGAATACTCACCCTCATCACGAGAGTAGTCCTCACCCGAGTGGGGCTCGAACAGGTAATCTCCAGTAGCCAGCTCAAATGCCTGGGAGAGAATGAACCAATGAAATGAAAATGATGATTGAAAATTAACTGTGTATGCTCTGTGTTTGTACAATACAGTATGTGCGTGTTCTCACCATGCAGGCAGTGCTCCAGATGTCTGCAGGAGTGCTGTAACCAGCTCCAATCAGGACCTCAATGGAACGATACTGTCTCGTCTGGATATCCTCTGTAAAGTGCTTGTGCTGTGAAGAAGACATAAGAGGAGATCTAAATTTTATTTACCGACAAAGGACATACAAAATCGTGTGCTGAAATTCTGGTTAATGTTTCTCATCCTCCTCATTGTCTTTTTTTTTTTTTAGTCTCCTCTAAATGATCCAGACCACAGAAGCAGTGAGAACAACAGCAACCAAAGTTTCAATCCTAACAATACTAATGTAACAGCATTTCTGTTATGGTTAATAGCACCCCACAAAAACCTCCAGTGACATCCTCTGACACAAGCCACAGAGATTTAAGCAAAACATGCAACAAACTCCTAAAGCTGCATTTGTCCTGCTGGAGTTTGGGGAGTTTAAATGAAGTCATGAGTATTCCTTTAAAAATAAGAAAAGACTGCTTTGCCCCTGTTCTGCTACTGGTTCTACAACTCATGAGGTCTTTAAAATTTATGTACAACATAACAACAATGTGTATTTCAAAAATATGCTTCAAATTAAGTAATAGCTTTTGCCTTACCACCCAGCAGGCATTTCCAAGATCAGCGATTTTGACTCGAATGGAGTCAGCGTTGCGCGGGTCTAATGGATTGATCAGGAGATCTGCAGCTCTGACCTTGACTGGGAGGGGACAAAGTGGGAGAGCACAGGGTTAACACATACAGTAAGCAGAAAGAAGAACTGACACACTCCACTGTATACAGCGACTCTTGTGCTTCTTGAACCAGGAATCCAGTTAAGAGAAAGTCTTATCTACGAGTATGATGACAAGTATTTAGTGTCTTATTAAACTGTAAGTTGTGGCTCTTTTTACTTAATTTACAATTGTCTTGCAATGCAGTGTTTGTATTTGCTTAGGCAGTCTTTGTTTAAAATCCTTATTAACCTTTGGAGATGTGATGCTTGAAGTGAGCAACACATTAGACGTTCAAGTGGGGATAGTACATAACCATGCCTCACCTTTGGGTGTGTCTCCCGTGCTCGAGGACGACACAGTGCGACTGCGATCAGCAGTGGGGCTGTTGGGTGATGGTGCCGCTCCAATGTCGGCCATCCCAACAGAAATAGGGTTTCCTGGCTCAGGATCCAAGGGCAAGTCGGGGAAGAGGGGCATTGTGCCTCGATGGCGCTCACTGGAGCCATTGGTCAGTACTGGTCCACTCAGCTCACCATTAAACATCTCATAACCAGAGCTGAGAGAGAGGTCCCTGTCTGTGTAGCTGAGCTCAGACTCCACCAGGGGGCAGAGGAGAGGCTCGGGGGTGGATGAAGGGGGCGGAGGAGTGCCCGGGTTTGGTTTCAGCCCCTCAGACCCCAACAAAATGTGACCGTTGGTTTTGGCCGAGTTGGTCTTGTTGTTGTGGGATTTGATGGGAGAAGTGCTGTCCGTGAGGAGGTCGGCGGTTGTGTTGTTATCCTGATCTTCCTCATCCTTCCCACCTTGCCTCTTTGATTCCTCTTCTTCTACCCCTGCCTCGTCCTCTGTTTTGTCTTCACTCTTTGGCTCCTCTGTCTCATTCTCCCCTCTTTCAGTCTCTTTCTCATCCTCCTCTTTTTCCTCCTGCTCCTCTACCTTCTCCTCCACATCCCCTTCCTCATTCTCATCCTTGGTCCCTTTCAGTATCTCCTCCTCCTCCTCCTCCTCATCCTCCTCCCCCTCCTCCTCCTCCTCCTCCTCCTCCTCTCCCTCATCCTCCTCTACCTTTACTTGTGCTGGATCTCCATTACCTTCCTGTGAATTGGGGGGAATGGGGGCATCTCTTTCAGCGGTAGGCGTAGGGTCCTCGTCTTCTTCCACCTCCTCATCTGGGTCATCATCAGTGACGTGGGGTGTCTCGCTCTGTTGCTGGGGAGGTGATGCACCTAACATGGACAGAAAAGGAAAGGAAGAAAGAATGGAAGTGGGTAGAAAGGATATATACGCACAATAAAAGATATTGTAGGCAGAAAGGCAAAGAGCAGAGAATAAAGATTTGAAAAAGGGAGGCAAAAGAAAGAATATAAGAATGAAAGAGACAAAAGATGGAGAGACACAGGGTGGAGGAGGAAGACAAACACAGTGGATCTTTCTTTGTGTACGTTTCTGTATCAGCCTGGTCTCCATTTGTAGTAGGACTAGCGTGGGCTGAGTGGTTGGAGCCAAACCACCTCCTATTCATTCACAGACAGACTGCACAAACTGGCACATTCACTCATGAAGCACACCTGTCAAAGCCACTGCTCTCCTTTAGAACTATCACCGTTCTGGTTGGTGACAGTCCAGGTACAGTAAAACAGTACAAGTTAACCTAAATATGTGGCTCACTTTTCCTTAACAGTGCATTTCCCCTGACTTAAAAGCTGCATCCAGCAACTCAGTGAGGACATGTCAGTGGGCTGAGACAATGTTTTGTGTATCTGAAATTACACGGGATGCATAAAGAAGCCCAAATGAACTTTCAGTTTGTTTGTACTGACTTGTACTATATTCTTGACAGGATGGACGACCTTATGAAATGGACAATTATATGTATAACATGCACATGGAGACTTCTGTGAAGATCGATAAAAACAGCAGGCATACTATCAATCCTAAGGTAGAAGGTCCACCAGTGGGTCAGTCATTCGGATACGTACTGCACAGCCAAATACTGGACAAATCTACTGGATTTCATTTTAAATGCTAGCAACAAAACCACCAAATATGCCAGGTTCATCCATGTGGAATGTGTACAACACAGACATTTTACATCACAACCATAATAAATCACAGCGTTTCCCAACTTGGGAGCTGGGAACCCACTAGATTAGTCCAGTTGGAGTTTTTTCTTGTGAAAGACTTTTGAAGCCTGATGATCAGACTGAATTGTCATTTTATTTTCACTTCATTATGCATCTATATTGGGGGAAATGGAGACAGTGATTCAGATGTCTGCGTTTTACTGCTTTGCTAAGTTTTACTTCTTCAGGCCTCTAAAACAACCCCAAATTAAATTATCTAGAAAAAACACTCTCAGCTTGAAATAAGGGGTCATGTAGACTTTGTCATATTTTAAAGCAGCTGGGGAAACTCTTAAGATCAGATGACTCACATGTATGATTAGTCAACCTGATGGGTCTCTCCCTCTCTCCTCCCTCCTCCTCCTCATCTTCCCCGTCCTCTTCCTCCTCATCATCCTCCTCGCTCTCTCCCAGGGCCATGCTGGGGCCCAGTGCAGGTGGTGGTGGCTGCAGCGGTGAAGGCAGCCTGTGTTCAAGCACCCCTTTCTCCCCCCCTTCTTTGGCTCTCTCCTCCCTCCTCTCGGCCTCTCTCTCCAGGGCTTCGATCTCCAGCATCCGCCTCTCCAGCAGCTCTGCCTGCCGCTTCTGTTTCTTCTTCAGCTTCTTCTTTTTGTTCTTGGAGATCTTACCGACCTGGGAGACAGGGAGACAGGAGAGGGAGAGAGATAGAGTCACAGGAAGGCAAAAGAAAAAGAAAACAGAAGCATGAATAGGAGGCATTTAAGGTACGAAAACATTTTATACTTGTGTGAATGGGGGGGGGGGTATATTTGTAAAGTCAACTACCACTTCCACTGAATATTGTTAATACATATTAGCACATTTCAAATTGAGCACGTCATTGTTATCCAATAAAAACCAAGTAACAAAATTTGTTGATTTAGAATTTTTTATCTACGTGTTCTACTTCTTACAGGCCCAAGTTGTGGGGTTGTTATCTCAGTGTTGTCAGACAACTGTCACTCAGATTTGATCAAACCACAGCCACACAGATTAGCAGAGTTTCGGAGTGATAAGCAATAACAAAAGAAGTGCTTTTATTTAATCATAAATACTGTATTTAATATTACAAAAATACTTAAGATTTGAAACAAGGTTTTCAGGGAATTTGAACTAAAATTATTTGATAAAATTTCACTGAAAAAAGAAAAACTCCTAATTTTACTACATTTATTACCTGTACATTTCTGCATCTATCCTTGCTAACATTCAGTGGTAGGAGGTTTGAAAGAAAGACTGGCAAAAGCAGGAGAATAATGCTAATAAGACACTGCTTTTGTTTTAACAGCTTTTCAAATATTGCAGTGCACTCAGTACCTAAACTGTCTCCAGCAACTGTGATGATCAAACTGAACAGTGTGAAATGTATCTTGTGTTTGTGTGTGTGTGTGTGTGTGTGTGTGTGTGTGTGTGTGTGTCCCTCTCATTTCATACTCACATCTGTTGTACTCACCGGTTTGAGCTGGGGGGCTGTGCTAACTGACAGAAAGAAAAACAACAACCATCAGAGGCTTCAAAGTTTTGCAAGCATCAATCGGTCACACAACCGTGGTCAAACTACGTTCAGGATTCTACTCTTCTGGAAAGAAATCATTAGGGGATGTACTGTGCTGTACATGCTTTCCATCTAAAGACTGGATACACACTGACTGTGTGGGTGAAATGAAAAAATAAATGCGAAGAAAACAGTCTATCACACTCCCTCTGCCTCTTTTGCTTGTCTCAGATACTGTCCCAACATATTAATGGTTTATTCCTCACCAGCCTGAGAATGTAGCTCCTTTATGGTTCAGAATATTCTCACCTACCACTCTCACCAATCAAAATTTGAATAATAAACCTAAAAAGAAACATTACAGTAGCGTGAAACCATCTCCACACAGATTCATAGTTGCAGACCAAACATGATCATCATCTTTCAAATTCAACTCAGGATGCATGATCAAAGATACAGCGATGCACATAAATAATTTAATTTACAAGTGACAAATCGATTTTAGTGTCATCTAGTCGAGGTTGCCAGCTTAGCAGCTAAGCAAGTACAGTAATCCATAACAGCATTTTCTGTTCTCTGAAAATCCTCTTGAATATGATTTATAACAAAAACACTCCAAAGTACGTTTCAAATTTCTGCTATGTAGCTTCAGTCTTCTCTGAAATTTGTTTGCATTGTCTTCTCAAATGAAACAAGTAAACAATAACGGACATTTTGCTATGAAGCTCATGTCTGCACATATGTTTTAAACAATGAAACTCTCATTCAATCACAGACAGACTCTGTCACACAGCACCCTTCTGTTTTGACAGTTGATAGTTTTGTGCCCGACTGTAATTGTGTAGAAATGTAAGCAGTATAATTGGTTACCCTGAGGCCCGCAGCTTCCACTGGCTGATGCAAGCTCATGCATGGGTTCATCGCAGGGACAAGGTTCATGGAGAGTTCGTCAAGACTGTGTTTTAAGAACTACATTTTTTAGTGAAGGAACTTGAGATCTTTTCTTTACTGAGCAGTTCAATGAGATAAAGCTTCAACAAAAAAAGATTCATTATATTATTGGTGAGTCATGATTTACTGCATTTATTATAAATACTGATTTCAAATCAGGAATATAAGCTGTTAAACCACTACCTAAAATCTAATTTTACATGGAAAAAGCTACACAACTGGCATTAATTAAACAGACCAACAGACTTTACTGCATAGTAGCTTTCTGTGCTGCTACTTTTAATTTACCAAATAAAATACATGCTAATTAGGTGCCAAAATATATGGAAAAATAAAATAATAATAATCCAAAAATGGAAACAATTGGGTATTACAATTAAGTACTATCAAATCAGTTCAAAGGTAGAAAAAGACAGCACACCAAAAATGTACAAATGTCTGTTGAACTTCATATTTAATTCATTATCATGGCAAAAAAAAGATCATGTTTTGAGTATGCATCATGTCTGCCAGTCTGTCATGCAAACTCATGAAGCATTTTCACTTTTTTATATTCCAAGAAAATGTTCTGCAGGCATTTTTACTTTGTTATAGTGTGCACCCTTTTCCACTCATGACCCTCATAAATAAATTCCAGTACAAAAAAATAGCTCAGTAATTCAGGAAATCCCCTTGTTTGCGTTCTCGCCGAGTGACAGGTTAGATGACTGTTAGCACTTTCATGTCTGTACAGTAAATGTGAATCTACAGCAGCAACTGCTCAGCCTAGCAACAGTTAGCCTGGCTTTGTCCAAAAGTTACTCAATGTGCCTACCAGCACTTCTAAAGTTCACTATTACTTAACACACAGCCTTGTTTGATTAATATGTGCAAAAATGAAGTATAGACTTGACAAGTTCAGGAACAGTCATTGTGGATTTTGTTACCTGTGGACAGGCCCAGGCTACCTGTTTCTTTATGTTAAAATAAGCCATCTCTTTTAGAATACACCAAACATGAGGGTTCACGTGTCCCTACCTGCTGATCCGGACGGTGGGGGGGCTCCAGCTTTTTGCCATTCAGTTGCCTCCATGGCCATGCGTCTAACAAATGCATCATCTACACACATCAGGATGTTCTCTGGCTTTATGTCTGTATGGATGATTTTACACTTTGTGTGGAGGTAGTCCAGACCCTGCAGGACCTACAAAAGCATTTAGATAAAGAGATACACATTTATTACTGAAAAACATGCCCTTGTTTAGGTGTGTACATGCTCAAAAAAATGCAGACAGGGCGTCTTTCCCTGTTCAGTTCTCATTATCTGTCTCTCTGCGTTTCATTCCTTCTCTGTTACTCAGAGCCAAATTAGCCATTCTTCTAATGCTTGTTGTTTTCTGTGGGCAGAGAAACAAGGCTGTTGATGTTTTTGTTTCACACTTTCGCTCATTTGTTTCTGTCCAGAGGCTTTGAGATTGCAGTGAAGAACAGGCTAAATGTATTATTTTTCCCCTCATCTTCTGCTCTTCTTTTGAAAAGTGAGAGGCTGGCAGCAGCTGAGATGGCTCAACAATTTCACATACTCATCAGGTACCTGAGGGGAAAATGCCTGAAAGTACTGCATTAGGGATGGTAGTAGGACTGAAGTGTGAGGTGCACAATACCAGGAGCTGCATTAGAAGGCCCTCTGCTCCCTTTTGTCTGCCCCTTACTCGTTATGTAGTTTATTACTGATCCACCTTCTTTCTTTTCTCTTTCACAGTCCAGTCCGGTCCAGACTTTCACAGTGTCCTTACCTGTCTGATAATGCTCTTGACACATGGCAGTGGCAGACCTTGGTAGTTGGATTTAATAATCCACTTCAGCAGGTGGTGACCCAACACCTCAAACACCATGCACACATCTGGAATGGAGAGTCAAGGACTCATACTGTCATATCCATCACTCGTGCAAACACAAACGCGCACAAGCAAGCACCGTCTCCTGATCAGGATACGTATGCCGTTGACTCCAGAGATTTTGAAGTCATCTATCAGTTGAACCACCATGTCCTTGTTGGGGTCATTTGGGTCACTCTCTCTCACCTGGAGGACAAGAGGACAAGGAGATGGAGCAAACATGACAAGAAGAAGGAACAGACGATGAATGACAGAAGAGGACAAGATGAAAAAAATTAAAAATTAAGGGAAAAGAGAAGAATAAAGGAAGAAAGAGGGAATGGGATGAATGGAGGAGAATGAGAAGCCAGAGAGAAGCCAGGAAAAAAGAGAAGGAAGGAGACTTGAGAAAAGGGAGAGGACAAAAGAGACGGATGTGAGAGATGAATATGCTGAAAAATATGACTCCAAACAGGGAGAGTCTCAAGATGTGAACAGGAGAGGCAAGGAGAGAGGAGAAAAGGGAAAGCAAAAAGAAGGAAAGAAGGGAGGAAAGGCAGCAAGGAAGTGAGAGAGAAAAGGAAGTGGGGAGAAGGATGAAAAACGGAAAACAAGCATGAACAAATGGTGAAAAAAGAACATGATTTCCAAAAGCTACAATGTCTGATTCTTACACAGCGCAGCAGTTTGATCTCATCCAGGGCCGTCTCTGTGTAATGCTGGGCACTCTTCACCACCTTCATCGCCACAAAGTTCTTCACTCTATAACCACACACACACACACACACACACACAGCCGGTCATGTTAAGGTGTCCGTATGAGCCATATAAAAATAGCACCTGATCCAATACTGACTGGTGAAGCTGTGTTGAGGCTGTCATTGCTCGTTCGCACTACCCACACTGCCACTGGAGATGCAAATGTATGAATTGTGTAGTAATTTATTGCAAAGAAAGAAATAATGCTAACATTCTGTAATGAATTCCACTGGCATATTTTATCTTCAAACAATATATGTGTGTTGGATAATTGTTACTGTATTATAATCCTTCCTGGGCCATATTCGAATGGCCCAACGTGATAAGCTGCTTTATAAATCTGGTGACAAACATATCTGTCATCAGTTAACCATGAAAGTCAAGCAAAAATGGCAAGCATCACTTTGTTTCCAGCTTTTTAAACATGAGAACATGTTGCTATTTTTCTCATTTATATTTTACATTACATGGTCATTTTAACTATCTTTGGAAAATTTTTGGACTAAAATAATTATCAAGAAATTATAAATTAATTAACCAAATTAAACTGCATTATCTATATAGTTTGCATTAAAAAAATTGTCAACAACAAAACCTTAAAAGCACACAGTGATTAAAGCAAATAAAAATGGGACTAAAGAATGTCTCAACTATTTAACTGTCAAGTAAATGAAAGAAAGAAAGAAGTAAAAAATACAAAAAAGGGGGAAAAATAACCACATGACATGAATTAATATCAGAATATCAGCATTTGAAGCATGCGACTTCATGCACATTAGGATGTGTCTACAGTAGCCATGATACTGACACGGTGGTGAGAACCAGGGACCACTGTGACAGTTCAGTGTGTATAAGGTAATCTAATTCCACCTCACTAGTTTATGACCATCATTAGTGTAATTAACACCAGTGACTGGAGTAAATGAGTTTGTGCGAGCCAGTGAAAGGTGACACCAGGTTGATGGTACTGTCATCCATCCACCCTGGTTGCCACGTGAACGCAGAAACAACATTATAGTGCAGATGAGCAGTCTTGGTGCCAGTGTAGGGTGGTGTTGTTTGTAGCTGTCACTGTGAAGATGTGCCAGATCCTGTCAACAGGTGCATGTGTCGTGTGTGTGTGGTATCTTTGATGTTGTGTGTGTCTATGAGGGTAAAGAAAGAAGTAGCAAAAAAGGTGAGCTTGAAGTAAAGAACTGCCACATGATGTACTTGTGGTGAATGTCTGTATGCATGACAGCAACATGAAGCAGAATTTAAAATCTTATACTGTACTATAATGTGTGTGTTTGTGTGTGACTCACTGTATGTCCCAGCACAGCCACACCGTGGAGAAGTGGCCCCACCCCAACTTCCTGATCACATGGTACCTCCCGTTGAACAAATCCCCAATCTTCACCAGATGGTACCCTCCTTAGAGAGACACAGAGAGAGAGAAAAGATCAAGGCTGCAGGTGACTGCAAGTGATAATCAGGGGGTGACATGAAATCCATTAGTAAGTATGAATAGGAGGGAAAGCAGCAGGCAGGCAGGAAGGTCCAGCACACAGAAAAGGAGCCAGGAGCCAGGTGTTTTATGACTGAAAAAGAACAAGCTGGAGGTCAGTGCATCTCCAGCAGCATCTAGTGAAGCTATGACATTCATCTAGATGTTATTTCAGAAATGTACATTATGTCAATGCCATCATGCCGTACATTTTAAGAACACCTGCTTAAATGCATAAAACAAGGGCGCCCTTGTTTTACTTGGTACTGAAGAGATAAATTCGAAGCCTTGAATACTCAAATATTTGGCTAAAACAGTTGCAAACATTACTGCTAGAATAACTAGATGAACAGAGGGAAATACACCATACTGTAACACTTTTGATAAAATTGATAAAATGGTTAAGAAATAAACAAAAAAGCTAACACATAAGGGTCTTAAAATCACTTTTTAAAAACAAAAAGCCAGTAAAAAGAAAGTAAGCAAGTAGAGGACAGTTTGCTTCTTCTGAAACAGGAAATCAAGACTCCAAAACAAGATGCATACATCTGATAGAAAGTCTTACAGCACATGATCAAAATGTAGCACAATTTACTGCATTAGAATATCCATCCATCCATCCATTTTCTTCCGCTTATCCGGGGCCGGGTCGCGGGGGCAGCAGTCTAAGCAAAGATGCCCAGACCTCCCTCTCTCCAGACACTTCCTCCAGCTCCTATAGTGAATAAATGTGGTAACAAAACATCTAGTGATAGTGATGGTATCACTATGACAACTGTTAAATGGGTAATTGAGGAGATATGCAAACCATTAACCCATATTTTTAACATGTCATTTCGACTTCAAAAGCCCCTTATGAATAGACCAAGATCTAGTCCCGTGACGTCGCCCGGCATGGCGCAGCCGGGGCCCCACCCTGGAGCCAGGCCCGGGGTTGGGGCTCGAATGCGAGCGCCTGGTGGCCGGGCCTCCCCCCACGGGGCCCGGCCGGGCTTAGCCCGAACGAGTGACGTGGGGACGTCCTCCTGTGGGCTCACCACCTGCAGGAGGATCCGTAAGGGGCCGGTGCATAGTGGATTGGGCAGCAGTCGAAGGCAGGGGCCCCGACAGCCCGATCTCTGGACACGGAGACTGCATTAGAATAATAACAGCAAAATCAAACAAAGTGAAAAACTGTGTTCTTAAAAATACTGGATGACTACAAGTGTAGTGCAGTGTTGCACAGTGTTTACAGAATGGGTGTAGCTTCTTGAAACGGAGCTCTTTATTGACAATAGACATCTTAGACATTAGGCATTCTCAGCCACTGCAGGAAACTAGACTGCTGCTCCATGCTGGCAACAACCATAGAGCCATGAAACCGGCAGTCATAACTACTGAGTGTCTCGCCCTGATGGTCAGAACGACACTGCTGGAAATCCCATTAGGATGGGATATCCCATCAGGGAGAAATGAGAGCGGCAGAAGCGCAAGACAGACAGAGAAAGGAGACAGTGTGAGACCGAGCAGCCGTTGTTGAGCTCAGGATGACAGATGTATAGAGTGGAAGTAAAGACTGGGACAGTCTGGCTCCAGTATATACGTGTCTGTTTGTGCGTCATTCTGACCTTTGCAGTAGTCTGCGGGATCCTCCTGCTCCTCATCGTCAGAGCCCAGGATCTCCTCCTCCGGCTCCGGGGGGACTACTGGCTCAGGGGGAGGTGGAGGGGGTGGCGGGGGAGGAGGGGCAGTCACCGGAGCTTTCTGCTGGGTCTCAGGCCTGTGAATACAACAGTGGGATGAAAGTTAGGATGAAAACTTCTTTCTAGAAATCCACCTCCCTGCAATCTACTTTCACCTATTTTAATATTTCTAACAGTGACTCATAGTGAGTGAACCGCAGACTGAGCCTTGACAGCAGATGACTAATATCAAAATAATAACTTGAGACATTTCCAAATACATAAATGCTAGTTCTTCAAGTGTGCATTGCTGAATAGCATCATTCACAGTGATTCACCCAGTACTGACTTGATAAAACTTTTACATTTGCTCCTCTGAATAGAGCGCATCAGCCTTTCCTACGGGACAAAAAGGCTCAGGAAGTGACGTGCTGTATGTGGGTGTTCGGAATGAATAAAACATGAACACTAATCAATAATTAGTGTTGCTGAACAAGTCAAAAAAAAAAGGTGCCATCTACAGCAGCTCATATTTAAGCAACAGAAAGAGGGACACACTCGGACTTTCTCTGCACAGCAATATAATGTGAAATATATGTGAGAAGAAAAGAATAACAGGTAATAAAAGAAGAGTCTTACCACATGCCAATAAACAGATTTATTCTGAAACAGTTTATCTATATACTGATCTAATGCCATGACAGATTCCATAGAATTCAACTTGCTGTCATTAGAGGTGAAGATTATAATCCAAAATATCTCAGTCCAAAGCATAACTGCAACGGGTTGATGTGCTGAGACTGTGTGGAGCTCAGAGACAGTCAGGTTGAACCAATCCTCACCCACCCAACACCTCAGACATGAATCAGCAGAAAAATGGATACTATCCAAAAGCAGACGACTTCTTTCCATCCCATAAAAATGCAAAAACATGATGACATTGACATAATAATAAACAAAATACTGTATCTAGAATGACGGATAAATGAAGAGATTAGAGTTGATCAGTGTTTCAGGGTTCATCTTTGTAATCAGTCCTTTCAGTGAACAGCATTTTGAGGACTTAGCTGACACCCTTATGAAGGGCCACTACAATGAGTGATCAGGCAGCGGGTTCAGGGTTTTGCTTTAAGAGGCTGCTATAACACACGGGTTTTTTTTTTTTGGAGTTTTTGGGAACATGCCTGATTCTGTTTTGGGCCAGTCCCACCAAACCAAATCAAATTCTCTTTACAGGCTTTAGGAAGTACAACTGCACATGTGAAAAAGGTTGCACAGGCTGCAAGTCAGCTCAATAGAACAGGCTACGATTGCTACAACTAGCATAACGTGAATCTCTGAAGGAACTGTCGACAATCAAGTTGCACTGTAGATAATGTAGACACCAGGTTTTAAAAAAGGAGAAAACTGTCCTTCAAGAGTCTAAATGTGTTATAGGTGCGCAATGCTAAATTAATGAAGTACTCTATTAAAGGATAATGCTGGTCATTAAACCCTCACCAAGGACTAAAACCAACAATGAATTGCCTCAGCTTATAACCAATGTCTGAACTTCTGTCAGTCCTGAATTAGCTTATTTGTCTGTGCCATAGACCTCTATTGTTGTTCAAAAATAATTAAAAACACAGCACTGCACTGGGTGACATGTTTCCTCATTACAAAACACCAGACCTGATATGTTTTTTTTAAATGAACGGCCATAACTTTTAATAGCATCTCAAGTAAGCTAGACTTAATGGCCTGTGCACGAGATCTCTGGATATTCTTAACAAATACTAGGGTCTTTTGTTTCATAATGAGGAAACATGTCACCCGTTGCACCGGTGCGTTTCAATTTTGAACAACAATGGAGGCTTATGGCACAGATGAATATGCTAATCCAGGGCGGACAGAGATTAACAGCAAGCAGAGGCAAATCATTGTTGTTTAGTCTCTGTATGAGGACTGTTGAAAATACTGTTAATATATAAAATAACTGGCCTTATCCTAAGTCTCTACAATGTATTTTATTAAAAAAAAACAAAAAAAAAAACAACTCTCCCATGGACCTACAATAGAAACCTAATCACAGACTTGGACCACAAGTAAATACTGCTTCCTTTTTAAGAGGTTACAAGCAAAAAAGCCTGGGACGCTCAGCATTCAACACTCAGTCCTACCACTGTATGCTGTACCCACAGCCCACAGTGTGGATGTAATAATGCCATCCAGCAAATCTGTCCAGATTTATTTTGATGTGGGGACATTTCCGCATTTAATACTGTTTCTGTCAGATGAGCTCTGCCGTCACAAGTCTGTCACATATGAACTCAGTGCTCTGTAAAACAACATGAGAGACATGAGATCATAGCTTTCACTTTCATCAGTGCATCTAATATTTCTTTTTCATGCTCAAGTCTCTGTAAGACTGAATTAGCAAATGGCCTATGAAAGCAAAGCCTGAAAGAGACTCGACAAACTCAGCGTCACCTCGGTACCAGCGAACGATCAGCTGCTAAATTAGGGCAGAAAAAATAGAAACAAATAAACACACAAAGCCCGTGCTTGTGAACGGTTAGAAAATTGCGGTCACAGGCACAGACAGAGCCTCTTGGTATGTTGCCATGGCAACTGCAGATCATGGGGGTGGGGGTTCAGGACAGAGTGTTAACATGCACACAGGCATGCAACAGCAGTGGTTCTCCAATACAGCAGCAAAGGACAGAAGATAACTTGGCACTGACATTTCATTGCTATTTTACAACTCACACACACACACACACACACACACACACACACACACACTGTAGAGGGCTGTGTCCTTGCAGTAGGATACTGCTTCTTTACCAAAGCAGTCACGTAGATTGCCATATATCATGTCTATAAGCTCAGGGCTTTTATACAGCTCATCTTCCCATTGGCTGCACAAACACTTAGTCCCCATAACTTTCTGGACCTGAGCCAAGCAGCAAAAACATTAAGATAGTAAAGACTCCAAAGCCAGAAAGACGAATCGAGCAGGTGAACAGACAGAAAACAGCAAAAAGAGGGAAAGATAACGAGGAAGACTAGGGAGGTGGACAATAAAAAAGAAGAAAGGAGTGTCAGATGTAGAGAGAAGCGTAATCAGACCAACAACCACAGAGGTACAGTATGCAGAAAGAGGTAGACAGACACAGATGAGCATGAGGACAGAGAGGAAATTTATGCAGGCAAAAACAGAGAGACAGGTAGGAGCCATACAGAAAACAGAGTTCAGCAAACAAAGAGAGAGACAAGCAGACAAACGTGAGCAGAGACAGAGAAAAATAGAGGTGGAAAGGCAGAGAGTAGTAGGCTGACGAGCAGACAGACCAGTCAGAACAAAACAGAGACACAGGCAGAGAAAAAAACAGGCAGCAGACAGAAAAACAGAGAAAGAGGCTGCCCCATAGAGAGAAACAGGCAGGCAAATATGAGAACAGACGCAATCAGGAGGAAAACACACAAAACAGAGTGCGCATAGAAAACACCCCCCATCTGAATCTATAGGTTTGACACAGAAAACCTTTAGGCTGTACACAGACTGCATGTAGAAAGATGTTCATCAATCCACACTGAAACACGCTGTACACCATTCCACCTTAAGAAGAAAGCATTAGGACTGAGCTAAGAGAAAAACACCAGCATTAACAAACAAGTTCATTCTTTCACACCAAATGTGAACATGAACTAAGGTCATTCAGACATATGGTGTCGCTTTCAGATAATTAAAGATTTAACAGTTTTTTGATCACTTATGTTTTTTTATCTTGTTCGTATAAAGAAGAGCTGTTAGATCCTTTATTAAATGATTCACTAAAGCACTGAACAGAACCAGATTAACTTAGAATTATTTTACTTACATCCATTGATTGGTTCATTCAATGCGCTAAATGATTTTTCCCCCTTCGGTTTTATATATACAGATGTGTGTGTGTGTGTTGATGGTAGATGCAGGTTATATTTTGATGTTTTATAAATAGCAGTCCTGAAATCTTGACATCACATGTGGAAGGGGGATGACATGATCAGAAAGCGCAGTCTGAAAATTATTCTTTGACTTGCAAAATGTAAATAGTTAAGATACGTAGCTTTGATACAGTAGATGAAAACAATAAGTGAAACTAATATATTGGGCCACTCCTTTTCATTTCTGAGCCCAGTGCATTTAATTTTTGAGCACGAGTTCACCGCAGCACCATAAAGTTTACAACCATGACTCTGACAGATGATCACTGTCATTCTTCTCGTTGCAGGCAAACCAGTAACTTGTAAAGTCACTGGTAGGAATAAATGAACCCAGCATGAGCTTTGGGTGGTCATAATAGAAGAGCTGTGCTGATTATAAGTGTGTCTTGGTGCATGTGTGTGTGATAACCTTGCCCCAGGGCAGTGTGGGAAAAGCAGATATGAACATCAGGAAAGTCCTGTGTGTAAGTGATTTATGGTCGAATAAAACAAGCTGTGTGTGAATACATGTTTTCACATTACATACATATTTTAATGGAAATTTCATTTTTATGCAGACACTACATTGGTAAGGCACTTTTATTTTGAAACTGGTGGTGCTGTTACAGTGTAGAGCACAGGTTAAAACAGGCATCTCTCAGCTTTTCAGCCTCGTACTGTGGATGTAAATAACTGCAGAATGCGTCTTCCCTCCTTCTGCATTTAGTTATGTGTGTAGGCATGCCCAGACTGTTTCTGACATCTCTGGTAGCCTTTCCACCCTCACACCCCACAGTGGCATCTATAGCCATGGTGTTAAATGGCCCAGCATGCTTTTCTGGCTCCAGCATGGTTCATTTGAAAATTAGCAAACAAAAGAAGTACTGGTCCTTTTTCTTCCTACATACACTATGACTAGTTAAAATCTTGTGTTGCCTTCTGCCTACAGTGCTTGAAAGGTTTGTGTTGCTGCTAATCCGCTGACGACAATGTCTACGCTCCATCTTTCATGTGTCATGCACTCAGTAAAGGTTCATCATCACTGCAGAAAATTCATTTGACAAAATCCACATCATAGAACGTGAGAAGCCACTGAAGACTGAATTCTTATCCATCAGTAAACTCCTCCTCATACCATACTGTAATTGTG